TGGACCGTTAAAATTTAATGTAGAACATAAATTAATGAACAGAGTAAGTCTAGTAAACTTACTCCTGGAGTAAAAAGATCTCTCCTTATATATATATATTATTTAATATTTACACTTTCATAAATAGTTTTGTTAATAAAACTTTATAGAAAATAGAAATGAAAGTTTTATTAACAAAAGTATTTACTGTATTGAAAGTGTGAATATTAAATAATTATATATATATATATATATAAAATTAAATATCCCTAAGGTGCTCATTAATCAACTCTAGATCTTTTATATATTATTGTTAGATGAAACATGATTCACGTTGCAATACATAGATTTAAATATTTTTTTAAAGTAAAAGGTGAAAGTAATAATTTAAAAAATAATTTGAAACAATTCTAAACCATAAGATCCCACCAAACATAAATATGTTTTCTAGTATCCATCGGTATCCGCCACTAATGTTGGAGACCGAAGAGGTTTATAAATACTCCCAAATGGTTCCAACTTTTCCCCAAGGCAAAACCAAAGCTAAAGGCTATATATTTTCATACTTTCCAATATCCTAAACCTTCATCATGCTCACCAAGTACCTAACTCTAATTTACACTCATCTCAAATGGGTACTACATTTTCTTCTCTACTATCCCTTTGACATGCTCCATGTTTCTCAGCCACCCATGACTATTGGAGCTGAGTTGAGTACATTCCATTATGAATCCTCGGATGAACATGTAGATTGTGCTGTGTGTCTCCACACAATATGTGAAGCAGATGGGGATATTAGAGTGCTTAGATGTGAACATGTTTTTCACAAAGGTTGTTTGGAAACATGGTTTGGTTTCAAGAATGCCACGTGTCCTCTTTGCAGAGGATCAGCAGCAACAAGGCCTATCACTCACTCGGGGGCTGAGGTTTTGTTATTTCAGTTTTGTTCTGTCCGAAATGAAAACCGTGACACATGGTGGCTACGCTGAGTAATCAACATTGTGGCTTCAAGACCATTTGATCTGATGAAAATATCGTGTAATCAATTCACTTTGTTTTTGTTGTTATGCAATTGGAAAAGGAATCAAATGACAAAAGTTATATAATAATGGTGGGTTTTATTTTGGTGTTTAATGACATTGGTTTTACACATTTAACTAATCAGAAATCACCCTTTGTATAATTTTAAGTTATTGTGTAAAAGTAACAAATTTACCATGATAGATTTTGATTGATTAATAATGTAAGATTATTTTACGCTGTCAATAATAACAATTAAATTTTTTATTTTACAAATTGTTTAAAATAAAATAAAATATGATAAATTGTGATGATTTATCTCTTTTCTCCTTTATCAGTTGCCTTTTTCTCTTCTAATTTGTGGGTACAAAATGAAACAAATCATTTTTTTCATTATATATAAAAATATATAAATAATAAGAGACATTTTTCTCTTATTTTATTCTGTAATTCAAATAATTAAATAATTAACTCTTTTTATTCTACATTATTTCATCAAATATCATTTTATTCCATTTTATTCTTAACCATTAACATTGAAAATAATGGTTGATTTACTAGGAAATGCTTTTATATCAACCAATATTTTAAAAATTGATACAGAGTGATTGGTTAGACCAGAAATTAATAGTCTAGTTGATTCAAGTCTTTCTATTAAATTAGGTACATATGTCATTAATTTGATATAAATCGATATAATTTGACAAGTTTTCTAGATTAATCAAAAAAATAAATCAATTTTTTACATTTGAAATTTTTAGGGTTAGTATTGCATTTCACTGATATCTCTTATATATGATCTCTACAAATCCATACCACACTATTCAATAGTTAAGGGTGACAACTAAACGGATTAAGTCACCAATCCACCTAATTTTTTTAAAAATGATTTAAAATAAACTCTAATATAAAATAATCTCTAATCTAAAGTAAAAATTGTCAAACTAAGTATCATGCATACAACATTAAACTTAAATTAAAAAGTGTACAACTTTAAATAATCAAAACAAAAAAAAA